ACGGATGGGCCAGAACGTGGGTGATGGGCGAGAACATGGGCGCAAACTAGTTTTTTTCCTAGGGATCCAGACGCAACGTTTGGCCCCGAATGCGCGATCAGTTGAGTATGTTTTGGAGGAGTTTTTGGTGGAAATAGTTTGGCCCCGAATGCGCGATCAGTTGAGTATGTTTTGGAGTAGTTTTTGGTGGAAATAGATTGTGTCGTTTACCAAGCCTCAAAACCGCTCAAACGCCTCAAACCCCTCAAACCTCTCAAACCCTTCAAACCCCTCAACCCCCCCCTGGATTGCTATGCTCGCGGCACTCCGACACTGCAGTCTTTAGCCCGGTAGCGCCGGTGTGCGTCATTCTTTAGGTCTTTCGACAGCGCCGTTTCCCAGCCCTCACCGCAGCCTTGCTTGGCAGAGCCGGTGCCTGTGAATCTCTTGTGGCAAGGTTCGGGCCCAAGTTCACAGGGCACGGATGGGCCAGAACGTGGGTGATGGGCGAGAACATGGGCGCAAAGTAGTTTTTTTCTAGGGATCCAGACGCAACGTTTGGCCCTGAATGTGCGATCAGTGGAGTATGTTTTGGAGTAGTTTTTGGTGGAAATAGATTGTGTCGTGCCTCAAACCCCTCAAACCCCTCAAACCCTTCAAACCCCTCAACCCTCCCTGGATTGCTACGTTCGCGGTACTCCGACACCGCAGCCTTTAGCCTGGCAGCGCCGGTGTACGTCATTCTTGAGGTCTGTCGACAGCGCCGTTTCCCAGCCCTCACCGCAGCCTGTCTTGGCAGAGCCGGTGCCTGTGAATATGTTGTGGCAAGGTCTGTGCTCGGGCCCAGGGTCACAGGGTACGGATGGGCCAGAACGTGGGTGATGGGCAAGAACATGGGCGAAAACTAGGTTTTTTTTCTAGGGATCCGGACGCAACGTTTGGCCCCAAATGCGCGATCAGTTGAGTATGTTTTGGCGCCGGTGTACGGCATTCTTTAGGTCTTTCGACAGCGCCGTTTCCCAGCCCTCACCGTAGCCTTGCTTGGCAGAGCCGGTGCCTGTGAATCTCTTGTGGCAAGGTCTGTGCTCGGAAAGGAAAATTCCACAAAAAAACATGGAAGTTTGCATCGTCGCGGCAGTCCGAGTACATATGCTTTAGATGTCCTTGCAGAACAAAGGGACCCTATGCTGGTCGATACTACAATTGCTCAGACTCAGCATCGTGGCTGACTTCCGAATTCACACTTGAAGAGTTTCTCTCCAGACAACTTCCGCCTGTTGGTGTTTGACACATGTATTCCAATCAGTAAGTTTGCTTTGTGGTTACGTTACTTTTGCCCCAATCCAGTGAATCTTTGCACAAATGGGGACCCATACAATGCACGTTGTGTTCATGACTAGGCCCATTGGTCTTGTTGCCGCACTTCGGCCATCGAATCATATCCTGGTGCTCAATGCACACTATAAACCTTGGTATTTCCTACAACACCAACGCTGGGGCGCTGAAGCTTGCCATGATTACTCATGCCATGCACAAACATTGGATATCATAGTTCTTGTATACTTGGTTTGTTGTTTTTGTTAAGTAGGGGCAAGTAGACCACCTCCCTTTGGAGTCAAGGCACTCACCACTGAAGTTCATAGCCCGTTCACAGCGTTCACAGCCCATGTAGGGACCACATTGCGCGAGATGGCGAAGCATTTTTGTAGAGTAGAAAGTATGTAGGTTTCGGATTGTCGCACATGCAAATCCTAGGAGCATTTTAGCTGAAGAACTTCTGTACTTTGGTCCGGGTACCTTTGATGAGCAACTGGACAGAGCTTACAAACACTTCTGCAGCTACTGCTATACATGGGGGATCAAGCACTCGCAAACACCTTTCACGAGGAAGCTAGTGACTAGTTTAGACTGGCAACAGCTTTTCTTGTTTGCTTGCTTGGTGGTTCCTGAGTGGCGTTGCTAGAGTAATGAACCCATCTGTATGATGCCTGACAACATCTCAGCTAGGTCATCAAGAAGAGTGGCGAGTATTTGATGACCTGTAAAGCATACAATGGCCGGATCGTGACTTCATGGCTAAGCCACTGCTTAGAAGATGCTCTTCAGTCTGGGCGGCTGCATGTGGCATCTGTGGCAATGAGTCTAGGTGGTTTCTAAGGATCACTGCTACCGTGATGGTTGGCTTTCAAACTCCAAAGCTGGCCTCTGTCCCCGGGGTCGGCGGCAGGGGCGGCAGCCCTTATTAATTAGTTAGTTATGCACTTAATTACTCGTATTATTTCGGGTTCACTTCGGCTATGCCTCAAGCCTCGATCTGAGCTATCAGCTATCCCCACTGCTTGCCAACGTCATTGTGACTCGTCGTTGAGGTTGCCATTCTCATTGGTTTCGCTGCTCCCGTTCTGGTGTGCAATTGCTGCAGCTCATGTGGCCAGTACCCTTGTCATTGTGGCTTGCCATGTCCTTTTCTTTTCCACTGCGACGAGTCACAGCCCATGTCCTTTTCCAATTTTTGGCCTCCACTCATACGTCGGCATCCTGCTGGTCGGTTAGTGGTTGCTCTTGTCGTTCTGAGTTCCCATTCCGGCTTGTCTTTGCCATTGTTGCTGACTGGTCGTTGACGTCGCCAATGTGGCTTGTGGCTGATTTGGTCATTGATGCTGTCATTGCCTGGCTGTCAGGGCGCCATGCTGCGAAGTCCTTCATCCCCAAGCACAACCACGCCTTTCGCTGCTCTCCGCCTCCCCCCACCATGTCCGGTGGACCGTGTCCGGACCGTGTCGGCGCCTCCTCTGGAGCTTCCGGTGAAGCCGCCTCCGGGCGACCTCGGCCAGGACTCGGAAGGAGGTCCGAAACAGGCGACTTCGAAAAGGGATCCCCCTTCAGCTTTCAGGTTTGAAGCCTTCATAGGCATAGACTCTAGAATTTGGGGCCTTATAACATGCCATACAATGCCCTTGCAGAGGATAAAATGCCTTGTTTCAAGGCATGGAGGTCCGAACTGTTCAGCGCGAACCCCGCCCGTGAGCGGCCCCGCCTGGTGCTGGGGGTCCGGGGCTTCGAAAGAGCCTCAAGGGCGTGTCCAGCAAGCCTTCGAACCTGAGCACGCCCACGCGTGCCAAACAGGTGGTCCTCTCACGCCACAACAGGTGGTCAAATCCAACGACTTCGAGCTCTCATCTACCCTTCTGCCTTCCAGGTTTGGCACTCCGTCACGCCAGTGTGAACCGAGATGACGAAAGCGGACATCACCCAAATGGCTCACATCATTCTTCATGGCTCCAGACTCTGGCTCCGACCAAGGGGCGCGGGAGTCCTCCTTTTGCGGTCTCCATGGGTTCCCCGTGTCCTTGTCCATCCATGTCATGGTTCCCCCTGCACGTCTGAGGATGCCACGACCAATCGGTCACTCTTTTCTCCTCGAAAGGCCTGGTTTCGCCGTGGCTTGAGGTGCAAACCAGCGGCTCTACTTGCTACCCTTCAGAACCCTGCTTTCTCCTCGCTGTGACGACTTCGTCCTGTGGAAGTGGCTTTTGTCAGGTGAAAGTACGAGTCAAAGCCATTTCACTGGCTTCCCCCGTTGCGGTCCCATCATCGCCGTGCACAACGCCTCTGATCACTCCCAACACGGACACCCGTTCCGCGCGTTCAAGGCGGGGCGCCTGTTCCTCCGCCGGTGCCTCGGGACTCACCGACCCAACACACGTCCGGTCTGCCCATGTGCCACCGAGATCGCAAGCTGGAGACTGCTTTAGGCTTGGTGAGCCAAGTATGCAGGACTAGTTGTAGCATGTTGGAGCATGTTGTAGAAATCATAGAATTGCTGACATGTCCTTCTTAGGAAAAAACAAACAAGATGGAACCCACGAACCCGAATGCAAACACCTTCGAAAAACTACATATGCCCAAATGACACTCTTGTGGGACACTCTTGTAGGACACTCTTGTAGGACACTCTTGTGGGTCACTCTTGTAGGACACTCTTGTGGGACACTCTTGTAGGACACTCTGGTGGGACACTCTTGTAGGACACTCTTGTGGGACACTCTTGTGGGACACTCTTGAGCGACACTGTTGCGGGACACTCTTGTTGGACGCTCTTGTGGGACACTCTTTGGGACACTCTTGTGGGACACTCTTGTGGGACACTCTTGTAGGACACTCTTGTGGGACACTCTTGTTGGACACTCTTGTAGGATACTCTTGTGGGACACTCTTGTGGGACACTCTTAACTCTTGTGAGTCACTCTTGTGGGACACTCTTGTGGGACACTCTTGTGGGACACTCTTATAGGACACTCTTGTGGGACACTCTTGTGGGACACTGTTGTGGGACACTGTTGTGGGACACTCTTGTGGGACACTCTTGTGGGACAGTCTTGTAGGACACTCTCGTGGGACACTCTTGTGGGACACTCGTGTGGGACACTCTTGTGGGACACTCGTGTGGGACACTCTTGTGTGATACTCCTGTAACACTCTTAAGGGACACTCTTGTGAGACACTCTAGTGGGACACTGTTGCGGGACACTCTTGTGGGACACTCTTCCAGCACCCCAGATACTCCGCGTACTAAAGTTGTACTACAAGGTCGCCAGTTCTCACCTTCCACTCCACAGATTGCTCCGCGTACTAAAGTTATACTACAAAGTCGCCAGTTCTCAGCGTCCAGCTCCACAGATTGCTCTGCGTACTAAAAGTTGTACTACCAAGTCACCAGTTCTCATCTTCCAGCTCCCCAGATACTCCGCATACTAAAGTTGCACTACAAATTCGCCAGTGCTCGCCCGCATTTCGCGCACTCAACACGCACGATCTCCGCAGAGAGTTGCGCGGGCACCGGACAAATCGCACTCTCGCCTGCATTTCGCGCACTCGACACGCTCGATCTCCGCAGAGGGCGGTGCGGGCACCGGACAAATCGCACTCTCGCCTGCATTTCGCGCACTCGACACGCACGATCTCCGCAGAGGGTTGCGCGCGCATGGGACAAATCGCACTCTCGCCTGCATTTCGCACACTCGACACGCACGATACACCCATCGGAGCACACACATCACGCAGCCCTGCCAAGCAGTTTCGCGATTCCAGCCCCTCCAAACAACATCCGCTCACACGCCAATCCCAATGTGAAAGCGACACTCACCTCCACCACCACTCACAACCTCACGATTCCCTGCGCCTGCCACGAGTCTTTCCGCGTCTACACGTCTAACGGGCAGCACAAAGTACTGCGCCTGCCACGAAATGTCACCTCCGTCACACCTCGCAACCCTGCGCCTGCCACGAGAATCGCACTTCCACGCCTCAAAGCCCGCACAAAGTCCTGCGCCTGCCACGAAAAGTGACAATATCGTCTCATGTGAGCTTCAACAAAATTTGCACCACACCACACGTTTGGAATGATTTCAACCCGTTCTGAGCACACTCCCATCCACCAAAATCATCATTTCAGCTGAGACTTGTCACGAAAACCGAGCTTCGATGCCACACCCTGAAACGCAAATCCCAATGGCACGGCCACATCAAAAACACGACTCTCCAAACGCTAATCCCAATGGAACTGCGCAGTAATCTGCAGATCTCACAAAACGCTGCGCCTGTGCAGCGAAATGCTTCACGTTTCTTGCGCGACATGTCATTGTCCTGCAAATCACAATGGCAGCGAATTTGAGACGCGACGACGACGACAAACGACGAGAGACGACGACAGACGACGCAAGTCACGCGAACACAGCTCCAACCCCCAGACCCCCAACTATAAACGGGAACCCTTCGCAACGCATTCGGGAAAAAACCCCCCCCAAAAAAAAAAATATATATATATATATACATATAATCCCCGGTGAATGAGTGTCTATACAATGGGGAGGGTTGACGTGTATAAAATGCAGTTCCAGGACCCATTTTATAGTGAGGGTGCCCTGAGTAGAAGTGACAGAACCATGGACATGGCAAAATATATAGAAGGCTATGAACAGACATACGCATTGTTCACTGGGTATTATATATACATATATACATATACATATACATGTATATATGCATTTATCTAGAAACTCGTGGCAGGACAGCGCGAAACTTGTGGTGTTTCGCTCCAGTCTCCCTTGGCTGCCCGGCGCTACCGGTAACATCTCGCAAAGCGAGGGTGGACGGCTGAGGCCCACTGATCCTCGCAATCAGCATCAGCCGTGCGACGGTTCAAAGGCTCTAGGACACCACCTCATTGCATCAAGACCCTTAGAGGGCTCCCGGCAGACATCTCCCAAAACCAGATCGTCCGGGCTCCCAGGTCAACTCCCAGGTCGACCCAAACCCCTTATGAACCCCCCAGGGCCGACCGGTCCAACGCCCGAGCACGGAGGAACCGGTCCCACAGGCCGCACCACGGAGATGGGCGTGGCGATGCCCAGCCCGGAGAGGCCTCCGCGGAGCTACAGGCGAGCTACAGGTGATGAGCTCCAACATGGATGATTCAATGAGGTCGAAACCGCCTATCTAGCAAACAGGGCAAACAGTAGGGCATTCTAGAGTCTTCAACATCTCATGGCCAATCTGTCGTAGAGCATTTGCAGGGCTTGGTATGGTAGGATGATAAAGAAAGCACGGACTACAATAGGTTTAAAAACACTTTTGAAGGAATGAAAAAGGCCGTGACCGGGTCCTGCAATGCGAATCTGCGGCAGGCATGCTAGCTGCTAGCTCCGTGGGTTTCAGGACCACCTCCTGTGGCTTTGTTCAAGCTTTCCTTTTCTCCTGCCAGTTTTCCATCAGGTGGCCCACCTTCCAATCTTATGAAGTGACACCGTGTCTCGCTCCACCTCCCAAACCGCGACGTTTCATGCCCCAAACACCGCCCGCGCGACGCACACCTCGCGCGACTGGGTGCCCGGCAGCACACCACGTCACCCATGTCGGACAGCATCTGCACCGGTGACGGACCGGCTCGGACCAGGTGGATCTGGAAGTGGTGTTCCCCACCACCCACATCCACCCACGTCCATTTCGGGAGAAAATGGGACTTCCAGAAATTCCAAGAGACCCTTCCATGAGTCCATCATGAGTTCGGGGAAAACGTGGTCAAATGCCCAAGAAACCATCACACACTCCGAGACGGGGCGGAGACCCGGGCCACCGCGCACTCCGTAGCAGCTTGCAGCCCGTCAGGGCCGTATCTTCCACCTGCCCGACCTCACCGGTGGAGACCGCCGGTGGAGACCACCGGTTCTCCACCACCCCTTCCCTCTACATGGGGAGACTTCCCTTTAGTCTGTCCGGCCTCCCGAGCAAGCCACGCAGCGATTCTCAAACAAGGACGAACGAAACTGAAAGACCAAAACCGAAGACGCAGCTGCCTGACATGCTCTGCCGGCACTGGCTGACAGATCTGACAGGGCTGCTGCTGGGGCTCTGGCCACCCATCTTCTGGTGTCCCCATCCATCTTCACAGGCCACAACCCGCGCACCGGCACCTACTGCAGGTTTCGAGCCACCCGACAGCGAGCCGCTCCGGGCTTCAATGGCTCCCGGAAGCCATTTGCTTGGGACCCACTCTTGGAGAAAAGGACCAAGCAAACCGAGGAAAGGTCGTTGCAGGATCAACTCTTAGGAAAAAGCGACCAAATAACCGCCCTGCGGCTTGGCGTCACGCATGGTCAACGCTCCTCTTTTGGATCGTGCAAGCTAACCATAGCGGACACAATCCTTGCAGGAGACCTGCAAAAAATGGCGGCCAGCCCTGTGCACGTGGGCATGCGGAGATGAGCCTCCAGCCAACAAATTGGACTTTGCTCATCCTGCCAACGAATTGGACTTATACGATAATGCTCTACTGTATATAGTGATCTATGTGATGTGCCCAAACTTAATGGGTTGGTTGGCTGCGGTTGGCTTCCTCACAGTCAAGTCATGCCTTCCACCATCATGGGATGCAGTTCCAGAATCCTCCGGACCCTAAAAACTGCTACGGTTCTCACACATTCTCACCCCTTTCTATGGTCAGTGCGGGTGCAGAGAAGGACAAGTTTTGACAACACACTCATTGAAAAGCAATGAAAAGCCTTTGTCCGGTGGTCTCCTAGCGCTTGAATCATGAAGCACCATCTTCCACATGCCCTACGACTGCCTGCAGGAAGGTTCAGGAAGGCCAAAGCCAAGGAAGCGTGGCCGGGAAAGAAGTGGGAACAAGAAGGAGGGCCAAAAGCATCTGTTGGCCCTTCATCACATCTGAATCCTTCCAGACAGATCGTCCTTACAAATCCTTACAACTCTGGAGCCGTTCACCTCGCCAGTTCACCATCCATGCGGACACAAGAGACGAAAATCGCTGCAGTGAAGCCAGGCCATGTGAAGCCAGTGCCGGCCTCCTGCAGGTCCACGAGGCGTGAAGGCGCAAAATTCAGAAAATCAGAACCAGAAGCGAGCGTCACAGAACCAGACATAGAGCCGCTGGAGCGTGTTCTTTCAGGATCATCCCGGATCATCCACAGGTGGTCAGGGTCTGATCGCTCAGGTTTGCAGTTTCCCGGTGAATTCTGTACAGATCCTCAACTCGACTATGGCGCTCCCAGATGTTCTCCGGGTGCGACGGGGCACTGTCGGATGCGCAACGGGTCACTCTTCCAGCCGGTGTCACTCTCCATTCAGCTGTTGAACCAGCTTGGCTTGGCTGGCACTGTGAGACGGAGGGCCAATTCCGACACTCATGGCCATCCAGCTCGAACTCCCCGCAGACTGTATGAACGATACTCCCAAAAGACTAGTTCGGACGCTATCGGACACTTGTATATCATATCCATCCCATCCATAGTCAGCCATGTTCCAAAGGTTCCTTGGCTCTCGATCTCGGATTTTTACCTCTTCTTCGGGGGTTGGAGTGCTTGAAACACGGCCCAGGTGCGGCTTGCGGCACCAAGCCTTCCCGGAGGCCGGGTCGCATTCCTCTCAACAGGTTCGAGGAACATCCTCCCATAATTCTCTCCACCCCTCCACTTAGGGCCCCCCCCAACAAAAATTCCTTCCTTGGACACTTGAATGAAGAAACCTTTCCCTCCACTTGGAGGGCAAAGCCTTGGGGCGTCGATGTGTGGCGAGCGCCCGCATGGCTACAGGCCACCGAGACGGCCCACGGGCTACAGGCTCTGTGTTCGGCGAATCCTGGGCGTGACACATCCCGCAGATGTGTGCCAAAGAAGGTCGTTTTGGGTGAATGTCTGTCCCTAGAAATATGGAAAAATCAAAAAGTCCAAACAAATCTTCAAGTAAGTTCCTGCTCTATGGATTGGAGGGGCAGCGCATAGAGTCTACACCAGTTCCATCTCCTCAACCACATTTTCTGATGCCTGGGAGCCGAGAGCGCGGCGGAATCTCTGCGTCGGAGCCCTCATCTTCTTCCTCAACTGTGAGGAAGGTGTTTTGTTGGATAACCTCAGTCACCAGCCAGCCTTTGTGCTTGGATGCAGTCAGGGCACCACTTGAGGCCGAGGGTAGGTGACGAAAGCTAGCAGGGGTGCATCCGGACTGGTGGGACATCAAGCGGAGTGAGGCAAATGCTCATGAGGTAAAACGTTTGTGAACATGTAAGACACACAAACAGCAATGACACAGCCAACCTTCGAATTGAAGTCCCCGATAATTAAGGAAGCGCGGCTGGACTTTGCCACACTGTTCGATGCATCCGATGTGTTCACGAACCTGTGAGCTTGTTGAATCTGTTGCACCGTATCCCAAAACCTCCACGGAGGAGTTGAACCAGTGTGGATGCCATAAGAGGTGTCCCAGAGGCAAAACAAAGCTGCTTGCATGATTTGTTTGGTTTCTTCTATCGATGTCGATGTCATGAACATCTGAGCTTGTTGAATCTGTTGCACCGTATCCCGGAGGAGTTAAGCCAAAGTGGATGCCATAAGAGATGCCCGAGAGGTGTCCCAGAGGCGTCCGAGGGGGGAGTTGAACCCACGGGGGGGGGGGAGGGGGGGGGGGGGCCCCACATATGAAGTTTTCACGTGATGCATCGTGATGCGGTGATCCCGAAGATTCCAGCCCCTCACTTGCTAAAGCAAGGACAACTCCAGCTAGCTGGTGCTAGCTTTCGTGAAATAGGGACATGGAGGCTGGGGGCTCACATGGGCTCAAGACCTGTCCGTGGCGCAAGAAGTCCTACCCGTCGAAATCCAGCTGGGACCCTCCAGCTGACGATGATGGACATCATGGACATCCGCTCCCACCAACACGGCCAGACTTCCAAGCCCAGCAGCTCGATATCCGCAGTTGCACGCCGCGCAGGGCTTCAGCGGGTCCGGCTTGGCACAGGCCCGCTGGCAAATGACGCACGCCTCGACAAAACGTCGACGGGACGAGCCCAGACGAGATCCTGGGACTCCGGAGTGGGACTCTTCCAAGCGAACGCCCAAAAAGGTGGGCGCTGCGCCCCATGGATGATCAGGGTGGGCAGTGTGAGAAGCGTTGGGGATGATGCAAGCCCAGCTCTCTGGAGGCCTGTCTGTTAAAAAAACTCACGACCAAAAGCTTCCGCATCCCAAATTGCAAAAACATAAAACTTGAAAACTTAGGGGGGAGCCTTAAGCAAACATAAGCAAACGGCGTTTCATCCCCTTTCGCCGCCCTTGTTCGACGTTCCACTCGGTGTTTTCCACCGGACATGTTCATCGGGGACGCGCTCCCACCGGCCCCGCCTGCGAGGGTGGATTTCGAGCCTCGGCGCCGTGGGAGGAAGTAACTTCAACTGATCAGCCCAAATGAAGAGCTTCTACTGAAGTCTGCAGGGGGGCTGAGTCATCCACCATCTAAATGAGTTTGGCACGATCAGGAATGGAGGTGAACCCGACTGTTCCAGTGCCATACCAAAGATCTGAAAAGCGTGCGACCTGTAGCGCAACTGTGGCGGGTGACGAAGAGACACTCCTCAACACCCCTCAACACCCAAACCTGGGCACCCAGTCGTCATGGCTGCGGCACCAGCTCTCTGGCACAGACACCCCCTGGACAGGGCCAGTGGTGCGTTTCGCATCACGGTTCTCGATGGCCATAGCGGAGGGCATCCACCCAAGTTCACCCAGAAACATGAAGATGCATGCGAACAAGGAACCTTCGATGCTGCACATGCTCAAAATCATGCCTCGTCGCCCTAACTCACCCTTATTTCGCTCGGTCCCTAGCCGTCCTCGCAGCACTGCCGTGCTCCACCCCTTCGTGAATGGCCCTCGCCGTGCGCACGGAAAGCGCGAGGGGACCCAGGGGTCCGACCTCAGCCGTTCACCAGGCGGCGGACTGTGGAGATGGACGGCGCAGGTCGGACTCACAGTCGACACGCGCCCACAGGTCGACTGTGCTTCCGTGCGGGCCGCACAGCTGCGGCTTCTGCGGCCTTCCTTTTCGCACCAAATACGGCCCATGGCCCATGCATGAATCTCCAAAGCCCCAACCATGTGTGATTTAAAGAATCTCAATGCCTCTCGGCTCTACCACTCTACCCCAGTCACGCGCGGAAAAAAAAGAACAGCCCGCCCGTCTAATAGGCAACTCGTGCACAAAGACACCTGGTATGCCTTTCGCGGTGCAGTTCAGTGTGGTTTCGGACCGTTGAAGCGGAACCACTGCGTGGCTGCTCTCAGTGCCTCCCGATGGCGGCTCCTCCGGTGGATCTGCACCAGGTGAGACTGCGGCAGGAGCACCGATACCAGGAACGGGAAGCGCGGAACAATCCGACCCTGGTGAATGAGAACAAACACACAAGAAGACTTGAAAAATATCAAGGTTGAACAACAGCAAACTAAAAGCAGAGTTATCTGCTGCGACCCAACCCCGTTGAAAGACTAAAACAAACACAACACGCAACAGAGTCCGTGATCATGCGCGAAGCCCAGCTAGTAAGTGTATATGTGTTTAGCGAAAAGAGTGTCACAACTTGCACTCCTGCCTTTGAGTACAATAAGAAAGCCCCCAAAAGAACTAGTGTAGTTCCAAGTCACTCAATACAGCCCCGCCGTCCCTGTGATTCAAAGACTCACAACATCACTTACATTGGATCCTTCTGATTGCATTGCCGGCCTCCAACTTTTCGCAGCCTGCACCAGTGGTGGGCGAAAGGAGCTTGCTGAAGTGGTGGCCAAAGAGTTTCCATGTTCGGCTCAAGGGTATGGAGAAAGTTGCAGGGTACAAAGCTAATATTGCAGCTCAAAGTGTTGGTCCACCAAACAAAAATAGTTTTGAGATGAGCAGCGTCTTCACAAAGGCTCACGCAAAACGTTGAGCAATTTAAACTCTCACAAGTACCAAGTAAGTGAGGAAACAGGTCGGAGGAAAAAGGTCATGTACCGGGGGCGGTCGTATCAGCTTCAGCCCGGATATGCCATAGTTAGCGACTCGGAACGTCCCCACGAGTTGCGACGTCCCGAAGAACAACTGCTGAGAGGCGGAACGGTTTTCTGGGCAACGGGAATCGGAGAGGTAGATACGCAAATGCCAAAGTCATCGAGAAGTGTGGCCTTGCCGTTCACCTTCTTGGGTCACGCTTATGCAAAAACGCGGCCCACCTGCAGGATAAACAATGTTGGATACCATTGGGTTGATCAATGGTGCCCTGGCGAAGGAAATGCCCCAGCAGGTGGCATATGATGGGGGCATGCACTGTGGTAGTGTGATCTTCCGAAATGGAACATGGAAGAGGGAACACACACCGCAAACCCCTCCCCCCCTGTGCGTAACGCAGCTGAACCTGCAAGAGGCCCAGATACATCTATAGCATCTTCGATGTCCAACCTGAGGCGCTTGGCAGGCGTCCCCCCCAGTTCTGCGCACAGTTCTGGCTCCTCCTCCTCTCCAGTTCGGCCCGATCTTCACGATCTGGGGAGCCCCTGCACTATCACGGCTTCTCTGTGACCTCAGGTCTGCGCACCATTTGCGCATGTCCGAATCATCGTCTGCGTTTGGCAGTGGATGAAGGCCCTGGGCTCGCAACTTGCGGTTCATTCGCCAGAACTCGACTACTCGATTCGTCTTTTGAAAACCAGACGGTTCACTGCGGGGTGAAGGATTTATGGTAAAATCCAGACCAGTGACAAGTGGCCTCACAAATCCTGACAAAACAACCAATATATACCGGTTCACCAATTGATGGCACATCCAAACTCGAGAGATAAGATGGCAAACCAGGGGGAAAAAATGTCCTAAATCAAAAAAATCAAAAAACTGGGGAAAAGTTGCAAAAAAACACAAAAAACGCCTGATCCCTTCGACCGGTTTGATGGCACATCAAAGCTCGGTAGTTAAGATGGCAAACCAGTGAAATATATGTTCAAAATTAAGAAAATCAAAAAACCCAGCAAACATTGCAAAAAAGGCAGCAACACGGTCTTTTTCCCACGGCTCTCACCTGCCACCCTATTATATATACTTCCCCTCTCCTGCGCTTCTCTTCCTCTTTCCTTTGTCTCTTATCCTCTACAGTCCCTCTTTCTTCCTGTATATCTGTCCTATTTCTGTTCCTTGCCTTGTTCTTTCCTCTCTTCTGGTTCCTCTTTCATTTGAACCTGCTATATCTTCTTCATTCGTTTTCTCCCCTCCCCC